ATGAAACTTGTTAGAAAAAAAGAAAAGAATTATTATGATTTTTAAATAGTTACTTTATGCAATGAATATAATTTTTATGTATGTCAAAGACTTCTATTGTGAAAGGAACGAACAGGAAGAAGTCCTTTTTGAACAAGGTTAGAAAAAACCCTTTGATTACAAAAAAACAACATGGCATCCCAAGATCTTGTAAATACAAAAAGTGACATCAGTCTGGTTACATGTCTGTCTTTCACAGACAGTCTGCAGGGTCAGAACACGAAACCCTCAGTGGGACAATTTTCACAGCCACAAATCTGTTTAATTGTTTGCTTTTTGTTTTTTTTTAGCGCCAAACTATATCTAAACCAGACTGCCATCAACACATGGCTGTCAACATCAGATTTTCACTACACGGTGATCACAATCAAATAAATGAATGATGACACTGTGGCAGTGGATATCATAATATATGATGATAATATAATATATTATCATCATATATTATCTAACTTTTAAAGTTGCATACTTTACAGTATAAAACATGTTCAAATTACTGTTGTTGTGAATATAAATAAACCTGAACTGAATTTAACTGAATTAAATTGGTATAACAACAAGCATTAAAATCAATATTGCACCGCTGCCGTTGCAGCTGCCGCAGGATAATGCAACATCCCAAATCTCAACACTCCACACATTTGTTAAAAATCCTTGAATTCAGTCCCTGCTGTGTGTGAGAAAGTGTCAGTGTTGAATCTTATATTTCAGGTAAAAGCATAAAAAGGCTAGATTTTCAGAGATGAAGGACAAGAAATTCTTCCCTGTCAAAGCAAAGGTGAGAGTTAATTAGCTAATTTTTGGTAGCTACCTAACTTTGATCCATCAGTCTATAGTTTCAGGGTCGCCATGGTCAGCTTTCTAGGTCACCTGTGACAAGGCAGTAACATTTTAAAAAGGTTATATGACATAAACCTAATTAAAAACTTATTTCCAAAGTTATTTAAAAGAACTCAGCACCAAGAACCAGAGTCAGGGGAAGAAGGAGATTGCTACAATTTGACCACTTTTTGATTCCATGACGTGGTTAGAGGAGTGTGTTTAAATAGGATCCAACATGCAATGAACAAGCACAGTGGTGTTGCTAGTCGATTTACCAACTATCTGACATCAGCTGGGATAAAAATAACTGGCTGTGGCACCAGTAGAGCTTACTAGATTGAGCAGGTGACCCACATGCCGAAAGGCTAGTGCGGGGGGGGGGCCTGGGTTAGAGTCTGACCCGGACCACATCCTGCTTTCCTGTCTACTCTACAGCCCTGTGAAAAATAAAGGCTAAAAAGAGGTCTAAAATAAAAAAAACAAAAAACAAAACAGTTGGAATACATAGGAAAGACTCATTCTGTCCAAAAGCTGTATATAAAACAGATATAGTAAACTTTTAGTTAGTTTTAGCCCCTTAAACCTTTTGCCATTGAAATGTTAGCTGTTTGAAAACATATGTGCAGGGTGGTGCTCTATTTGTGGGCATAACATGTCACAAAGAGAGGCAGCAGTGGGTATCACCACACTTTCCCCCCTAACATTTTACATATTTAAGTTTATGAAGGACATAATAAGGAAAAGCTCCGCCTACTTAAAAAAAATAAAATAAACGGCTTTTAGCAAAGTTTTGTGATGGTGAATTTACGGGGCTCTCCGATAACATGTCAACTAAGATCCATCAAACATTTGTGTTCAGGCGTCTGTACCGAGATGATGTGGGAATGATGCTCTGAATCCTTAACCCTTTAAGACCTACCATAGAACCAAGTCCGCCAGAGCTTATATTATATTTTTACATGTTGTAGAGCCATTTTTGGGAGCATTTCAAGTTGCTATACATCAATACAACCATTATAGCCCACATTTTAATAATATGTATGCATTAAGTGCATAGTAATTATATACATTTCAAAAAAGTGCAATAAACTACAAAAAAATTTAAAATCGTTTTTGTTTTTTTAACATATATTTCTAGTTAGAGAAATTTAAGAGGCTTATCCCTCAAAACTGCAAATACAAAAAAGTTGCACAAAATAGTTTCCCACCACAGGAAATTTATTTTGAGTGTCTTTATAGTTTTATTTTTAAAATACACCAATTTTTATACACTGCAGGAAAACGAAAATAAATATTATGATGCAAATTTGCAAAACACAGCATGTGCATCAAAATAAACTATTTCCAGCAGTGCAATATGAGTTCTAAACATCCCAGAAACAATACAGAAAGTCATAAAGTCAAACATAACTTTTAAAAACACCAGTATAGGCTCATAAGGCCCTGAAGGCAAAAAACTACATTTCCGCAAAATGACGTCACTTCCGGTTTCGCGCAGGCCATGGCGGACATGCGATAGTTCGCGATGCTGGACATAGGAAGTGTTACAAACAGCTGATCGGATCGGCAAAGCGTGTTTCTGGAATATTATATTACGCTCTGACCGGCTTTAAAGGGTTAAGAGTCGCCCCCTTCTGGTCACTGAATATTACAAAATAAGTAGGTGGAAAAAAAATGGATAAAAATATTTAGACTGATTGCTTGACAACCTGACTGACTGACAGCAGACGTGAACTGCGTGTAATAATGTCTTTGTCTAAAAGAGATAGAGATACAAAGACGTCTTTATCTATCTACTGGAGGCATTGGGATTATTTTCAGGTGAGGTTTCTTTTTTTTTTTGCATTTTACTAAACACTGACCTGTTTCTGGATCCACGGAGAAGTACGGCTGGCCCTCCAGGATGCTGTAGACCACTTTGGCGCTGTTCCCGTACGTGGCGTCATCGGCGTCTGTGGCTGTCACCTGAATTACTGAGGTGCCTGCGGGTAGGAAGATTCATGACAATGATTTAGATCAACTCTTCAATACTGCTGAAAATTGCCTGCTGGATAATTGGTTAAGCTGATGCACCTTCTGATGAGGTGTCGGATCCTCTTCTAATCACGCCCATGCAGAATGTGACGGATCATTTCTGTCCCTTTGCGTTACCCAAACCAATCTTTATTCCTCGGCCACTTATACCCTTATACATGATTGATTTTTGCAGGTAATCAATAACTCCTAATGTATTTTTCTAAGTATATCTCTCTAAGCATGCCAGCAGCACCTATACTGGCTCTCTGCAAGCCCCGAGAAGCCTATTAGCGTATCCACAGATCTGGAGTGTCTGAGAAGCCAAATATCTGATAGCAGGCGAACGACTGTGATCCATTTTCTCTTCCAGAAAGGCTGAGGCCCTATTTCAGTAGAACAAAGGGAAACGGTTAGCCAAGTGCTACCTCCCAAATGGCGCCTTGCGGGGCCAAGTGTTGCCTCATTAAATGCAGAAGAAAATTAATTGAGTAGAAATATTTAATGGCAAAGTGGTATAAATATAGAATTGTGCAATACAATGGGATAACGACCTCATGAAACTTCTGTAATTTGATGTCAGCAGAGATCAGTGTGGGGTGAGACCAGAGTTTCCCTCCTTTAAAACCCATGTGATTTGTATGGATGAAGGATGTTGTAGAAATAAAAAAAAAAGCAGACAGAGAAAGACCACGGCTGTCTGATTTGCTGTAAGTGACAGTTCGGGAGGATTCTTGAGCAAGTTCACCGAACCTTGATCGCTAATACCTTTAACTAGGGAATTAGACTCAAAGAGGCTTTTCTGACATGGCGGCTTTTAGAAAATATCACTGATCCACATCAGCCATCTCATCGGCAACTTTAAGCTTTCGAGACAAGAATTTTCTGACAAACAACTCAGGAATAATCACGGTTTTTTGTGCAGGGGGAGTAAATTACCCCCAACTGCAATCATTCACTTGTCAAAGGGCGGAGCGCGTCAAAATCTTGAGAGTCCGAGCGAAGGATGTCAGAGCCGTGAGACTATAATAAAACTCAAAGTGTCACATTTAAAGGGGCAGTGTCTCAAGGCAGTCACTCGTGAACACATGCTCTGCCAAGCGGTGACATCACACCTCGGTTGTTGCCATGGGCACCCGTGCTGCCCTTAGATAAGTGCCGGCCTCTCTCTTGGGGTTGCTGAACCAAGTGACAACTCTGTCACATGTCTGGGCTGCAAGACCAACGTCCCTCAGTCCCAGAAGCACGGCAGCAGCAGCAGCACAACATATAGTTCACCCCGTGTTTGCGTGCAAGTATTGATGACTTTTTTTCCCTATTGTTTATCTATATTCATGAGGCTGCTGTGTGCTTTTAGGCTGGAGCCAAAGTGCACCGTGAATTATTTCATTTGCTGTTTGAATAACAAGCAGAAAGGACGGCGCAAAAGCAGCGAATGGTGCCGTGCGGCGTCTAAGGAAGTGGCAATGCAGAATCCACAATTATTCACTGTGATGACACAGCTGACAATGTCGGTAATTAAATTAAATGTCGTTTTAACAAGATACAATACTGTATTTAAAAGATTATCTGCACCGGCGCTGTCGAGACGCTTTTACCTTGTTTATTCTCCGGTCATAAAACAGCTCCTAGTCTTTCTCGTTTAATTAGTTGGGCCTTCTTTGTTGCGTCGGCATCATTATTATGATTGATAAAGTCCCATTGATCCGGTAAGGCTGGCATTTTATAACATCTCTATCCTGTTTGAATCATAATCCTTTTAATTCGGCTCCTCTTGCGCGCACAGGCGCAAACCTTCATTTGTGTAAACATTTAATTGTCTGATAAATAGCTCTTTTTAAGAGTCTAATATTTACGGCTGGAACGTACCAATGTCAGACATTTCAGGGACTCTGGCCATGTACGGGTCCTTGGTGAAGCGCGGCTCGTTGTCATTGATGTCGTGGATCTTGATGATGAACTCGGACTCGCCCTCGAGCGCTTCGTTGGTGAAGCGGTTGACAGCTTTGGCGTGGAGGATGTAGAAGGCCTTCTCCTCCCTGTCCAGCCTCTTGGTGGCATGGATGTCCCCTGACTTTTCATCTATCTTGAAGAGGGTCCCGGCTCCTTCCCCTGTCAGGACATACTTCACGCTGCCATCTCCTCTGTCAGAATCCGAGTGAAGCTGTGTGGAAAGAAAGAGGGGGAAAAAAAGGAGAAAATATGATTTGGATCCCCTGCTACAACACAAAACACCCATTTCAGGCAACAGTTTGTGGCATTTTCACTTTAATGAATTTCCATTTTGCTGCTTTCTACTGCTAATTGTTATAGCACAACAGAGATTCAAACTCGACTTTATGAAAGCTTTCACATTTGCTTAATTTCCTCTTATGAACAGCAAGTGTCAGCTACCCTTTTCCACATTAAAAAAAAGAAAAAAAAGATCTCCTTGTTAGCCTGAGCAGAAATGGTGACAGTGAACAAAAATCTTCATCTGCTGCAGTCCAAGCTGCACCGCTTGATTGACGGCTGCAAAAACACATCCCGGCGATGAGCGCTTTGCAGCAAAGATGTCAGCAAAAATCACATTTCAAAGCCGAATCGCGGCATTTCTGATCGACTGCGTGCACATCGGTGATCTGACCAATCTGGGCCCTGGCAAATAAACGCTGACAGCTTTTGATAAGTGTGTTTGGTGTTATTTAACAGATTCATATCATCTCTGGTAAACTGTCATCGTGTTGTGACGATACACATTCACCTCGCCTCTGTGAAGCTCGCGTCCTGCCAAGAAGAAAGCCAGCAGCCGGAGCGTGTAAAATGTCGCATTCACTGCTACTGTTACTTTTTTACTTTTCGCTGAAAGGGTGGGTGAGGGAGGGGACACACACACACACACACAAACACACACACACACACACACACACACACACACACGTCTGTGGGGTTACCAGCATGACTGAGCACACGCCCCGCAGCCTGCCAGTCCCTGATGGATCAGCAGCAGGACCAACATGCCAGAAGACCACGAGAGCCCACTTGTGTGTGGAGCTCCTCGTTATTATTATTTGCTCTGTTCCTCCCTATCTAATGTTTAATTTTTTTCTGCATGAACAGCAGCTTAGCATGCTCTGACATTTTAATTCCACAGCCAAATCTCCCCCACCCCAACCACACACACACACACACACAACATATTTATCTCCTAGAACTCATCAAAAGCTTGTCCAGTCTTTTCTCCCCTCCCACTACTTCCCATCCTACTTCCCTTTCCCCTTTTTTAATAACCAAGGACACAGTAATAATTGCAGGGTGGGGTGGCGGGGGAGGTAGAGGGCAAAAAAGGAGAGCCCATGTTTGCAGACACGGGCAAACATGTCAAGCATAAACCGAGGCAAACGCCATCCGAATGTTTACCCGCGTAAGTGGATGCCGGGATGTAATTCCGAGGTCCGTTATTGACACCTCATTAACTCAAGTGAGCCGGCACGTTTGATTTTGCCGGCTTGAATGCTTATTTTTTTCTCCCTTTTGCGCCGGTAGTTTCTGTTGTGTCTATAAAGGTTCTTGGCTCAGCCGGTGGACAGACTGAGGGGGGGATATTGTGCGTCGCAGCTGGGTCACGTGGGACCACATTGCAAAGTCTCCCTTCTCATCATATATTAAAAAGCTTTTCATCGCAGGTGCTCGGAAGCTTTACTAATTCATGCTGTTTTATCAGGGCAAAGCTGGCACATGTGAGATGAACAGCTTTGTGGATTAGCATCTTTAACACTGTTTTGTTCGACTGCTTGAATGCTGGTAAAAAAAAAAAAAGACTGTTTTCATTCCTTTCTCTGTCTGTCTAACCAAGCCAGTCAAGTGTGTTGCAAAATTTTGACTATCCTCGGATTAGGATCTCGAGTGGAGCACTGTTTCATTCACCCACTTTGAATTCTGGTCAAAACAACTTTCCTGTTTTGTTTCGGGGTTGGTTTTTTTTTCGCTCTGCCTAACCAAGCCAGGAGAATATTCTGCAGAATTGTATTTGTTTTCTGTTCTGCTTTACAGTACGTGCTCCCAAACAGAGACTCAGTTGGCTGAAAACAATCCACTTCAACATTATTATCTTTCCCCCGCTGTTATAGCTGCAATGTCCTTCTCTATGATTGTCTATCAAGCTGCCTATCTCTGCCGGCACGACAATTCAGTTAATAACTGTTGAGTCCTCTCTTTCGGCTGAGATGTGAGATAGACAGTGTGACATATGCTGTGTCGACTGTCATTTCTATGGAAACAGAGAGCTCTCGTGGTTTTGAAGACTTCCTCCTTGCTACACTGAAGGATATTACAAGGAAGCTCGGAGTATCGAACTCCAGCACTTGCTGCAGCGACCCCGTCCCTCCCAGTTGCCCACCTTGCCGGTGAGGAAAATTTACTGCTGCCCTTCTACTCAAATTAAGGAGGGGGGTGGTAAGAAGAAAAAAAAGACTCTCTTGGAAATCAATGTGGCAGCCCAACGTGCATTCACAAAAGCCCTTTGATCAATTTATATCGAAAATACAATTAAACTGTCACAGGGGGAGAAAAGAAAGCCACATGTGCATTCAGTTTGGTCACCAAGAAGCCCTGGCACATCAATAGCTTGCCTTTTCTCCTATGCCCTCCTATGGCACCAAATCGTAAAAAAAGGCAGGGAGCATGATGCTATATCCATTAACACTTGGACTTCTGGTCTTTTAAAAACAGAAAAAAAAAGCTTTGCAAAAAAAAAAAACTTCAACAGAGCCATTGCTTTCCTAAAGGCAGAGTTCAACATTTAGGGAATGGTTAGAAGACTAATGCTACAGTCACATCACACTGTCTCATTTCTGTTAGCGTACGACCCCGCTGTGTACACCATTTAAACTGTGTGGCAGGGCTGGATGGTTTGGGTGAAGTACTACTGCAAATACTGACGTTTAAATTAAATGGAAGAACTGAAGAAAAAAAAACAAACACATTTTTTTCTTTTACAAACTGTAAAAAATACACATCAGAGCTAAACTGGACAGCCACTCTCTAGTAAGTAAAGTTAGACATCAGTCTAACTTTACTTACTAGTTAGACCAGTACTAGAACTGGACCAGTTCTAGTACTGGTCAAAGACTTCAATTCAATTTTATTTATAAAATTAAATCACGACAACAGTCGCCTCAAGGTGCTTTATATTGTAAGGTAGACCCTACAATGATACATACAGAGAAAAACCCAACAATCATATCACCCCCTATGAGCAAGCACTTTGGCGACAGTGGGAAGGAAAAACTCCCTTTTAACAGGAAGAAACCTCCAGCAGAACTTCCTGGCAACTATCAGTTGGTAGGGAACGATTTATATTCCACGGCCAGTTGACGAGTGGTTGCTGGCTATCACGAGGTGAAATTGGTTGCAAAGCAGTACGGAGTTGCACTGAAAATCTCTTTGACATTGATTTGGTCCCTAGCAGGTTGATATAGTTACCTGCAGTTTGTATAATTTTCAAACGTGTTGGTTGCAATAGTATAAGACTTTTATTCTGAAATTGAAGGTTTTCTCCATTAAGTCCATGTTTTATACTGTCTATGTGCCTGGTACAATCTATCACTTTTAGCTAGGTAGCTAGCATTGCCTTGTGTGACATTGTCCTCATCCTACTAGAGTTACTATAGTTTTATATTTTTAATTGATTTATGGAAGATTTGCCTGGGTTTCAATTTAGCCTTAGTTTTGCTTTAATTTGATTTAAATGCTTTCATGCCTGTGAAAACTGATCTGATTGTAGGTTTCATTAGCTTCATTAAAATGTACAACTATAAAATTATCTGACGCAGTATCATTTACACATCACACTGTCACTAAACACACAGATGCCAGGAGGACTTTTCATATAGTCTCCTGATTGTGATGACAAAACTGGCAGAACAACTTAAACTAAACTAAAACTAAAAACTTTGCTGTATATTTTTCATTTATTTTACTTAATTACTTGATTAATTATTCCAAATGTTATGTTTTGGGTTTTTTCTCTTACTGGCTAAAACATTGTTGGTGGACTAGATAGCAACCTTTTCCAAATTTAAACTTTTAGCCATTATGAGTACACTATCAGGATAGCTGGTTAGCTTAGCACAGCATGAAGTTGCTTTTAAAAATTTCAAATATTTTATAACAAGACAAAACTGCAAACGTGAACCAACATTTTTTTTCTCACTCTTAACAAACTGAAGCCTTTCACTGAACCAAATAACCAGATTGTGGCAGCACATCTGCTATAATTTTATTCATATTTAACAAATAAAAAGTTATTAGTTATTAGCACATTAGTTTTTGAGTCTCACACTGAACTAGCAGCATGTTTGTACTCTCTGCTCATACTGCCTTCATATTAAATCATTTTTTGCTTTTTAAAGAACTTATTTTAACATTGCACTCAACAACAAACAAATCCTCCCTAACAAGAAAAGTAACTTCAATGGCCAAACTGCTTTATATGTCTTCACATCAATATATGGTCCGCATATAAGGGTGACGTGGGCCACAAGTGATCCCCCGGCCGCAAGTTTGAGACCCTTGGTCAAGTTACTGAGGTGTAGATTTTGCAACCTTTAGAAATATTACTTTAACGTTGCGCTAACCAGCTAATTAAGCATGTTATTCGTCATACAGATTTGAATTGAAAGTAAGTAAATGATCAGAAATGTAAAACTAACAGTTATGACTCTTTTGGTCAGTTTTGTACTCTCACTTATTTAACAGGATTATACATTTACTTAAATGTTAAACATTATGCAGTTACAGAACTTTGCAAATGAGATTAAAATCTCATTAACTGGCTAGGATTTGGTTGAAATCCTTCTTTAACACATTTAACTGTGTCAAAACAGTTTGTAATAATGTTTCTAAAATTAGTGTCTGTGTCTGGAGGGATAAAAGAATATGGAAGGAATGTGGAGAGTAGTCACACTCTCATCAAGAAAAAAAATGAAACTTGATTTCAGAGAATACTTGAAATGAGTCGATTTGCATGGGAAACAGGCTGAAATGTTCTCACTTTTCAACAAAATTGGAGTTCAAGGACTCAATCACAGAGAAAAATGACTCGTGAGGAAGAATTCCTTGTGAATTGTCTGTGAAACAAACTATAAAGCCTTTGCTTCAAACCTTATATCATCAATAATAGCC